TATAAGGTCTTCATAAATAATCATCATTTGTTAAAATACTAGCAACATTAGCAAAATTTATACCATTAGTAAGATTTTGATAATGATGACCATATGCTAATTGATTATGTAATATATTATATAATCATGGATTTAAACTACGTTCAGGATAACGGGATTAAAACTATTTTTTTGTTTATTTTTATCAATAAAACCCTTAAAATCATTATTGATGTTAACCATTGTATTACTATTAACAAAAGCAACAGTTTTATTTTTTGGATCCATCAATCCACTAATATTTATTGGCAATAAAAGCACTATTTCGACTAGTAACAAATCCTCTAACAGTAAAAGTACGATTAACAATATTGTACTTATCACCAATTTTTAAATTATTATTATTAGCAAATTGTTCATAAATTAAAATTTCATTATCTTGTAATAGTAACTCTTCCAAACTTTGTTTATAATTACCTACTAAAATTGGTGGATCAATAATATTTTTAGGAACTGTTTGTGTAAAGAAAAAAGATTTACTGGTCATTAATAAATCATTAACTAAAGTATATTGATTTCATTCAATATTTTGAAATAACATGCCATTAATAATTAAAAAATATAGTTGTGATTGCAAAGAAATATCAATTGTATTATATTCATGATTAGCCTATGATATTTTATGATAAATTTCATCTTGATAAATTTTTAATGCTTTATCATTTAAAATAAAATAGTTTACTTGATTAATATTTGTCTTTCCATCATAAACATAACTATTAATTAAATTACGCATTGCATTTTTATATTCTTCAGAAGAGTTATAACCTTGATGATAATCATTAGGAACTAATAGTTTAAAATCAACATAATCATGATGAAATTTAGTAGATATATTATTTCCAATTTGTAAATAATTATTAGCATGAGAATCACTTAAATCACTACTACCATTAAAAATAAAACGATAAGTATCGGTATTAGCATTAACTAAAGCAATTTGAAAAGTTGCATGATTTAATTTAAAAGTATCAATACTATCATCATATGACATATATGACATATTTTCCAATCATAATCCTAAATGTGTTTTATAATAATTATATTCTTTTTCAAAACTATTTTTTTCAATTGGTAATTCATTTAATTCTTAAAATTAGTATTTTGACTAATATCATTTAAATATTGATTTTCTACATATTGATCAGAAAATTGAATGCTTAAAAAAATTATAATCATAATCATAACTAAAAAGCCTAACCCTAAAACTTGAATAATATTTTTTCTTTGTTCACGCAAATAATTAAAAAATATTTTTACCATATTCCACTAACCTCAGTTGATACTTCAAATTAATTTTATCAATTTAAAAATATTTTTTAAAATTAAAACATTTTAATGTGTAATTTTTTATTTAATAGCAGCAAACCAGATTATATATTATTTAGTTAATGTCATTAATTGTTTATTATTAACGTTTAACTTTCAAGTAATAATGTATGAGACTAAATAAATTAAAATATTTATACTAATCATCAATGCAAAATATCATAAACGAAAAACAATAGGAAATGCAATTTTTGCAAAAGTTGCTAATAAATTAGAAAGTAGCATTACTAAAGAAGGAACAATAAAAACAGCAATCAAACTACTCATTACCAATGCCGGTATTATTACCAGAAAGAAATTATAAGAAACTTCTAATGCAGTATAACCTAAACTTCGTAAAATATTAATTAATATTAAATTATCACGAATACTAATATTAGTAACAATAACAATAATCATTAATGATAATATAACACTAAAAATACCAAAAAATGAAATGATTATTTGTAAACTATATTGATTATTATTCATAATACTACGTAAATTGCTAATATCATACACTGATGATAATGAAGTACTAATACCTTTACTTTCCAAATATCCTGAGTGTGAAATTTGTGCTAAATCAATATTATAATCATTTTTATTACTAATAATTGGTAAGTAATGTTTAAACTCATTATCAGTAAATTTGCTTAATTTACTATTAGCAAAATTATTTTCTAATAAATCACTTTTACTACCAAACAAAATATCATTAAGCCAAAGTTTAGGCATTACTATTATTTTTGGATCTAATTTATTAATATAATCATAAGCAATACCAATTATATATTTTATTTGATTATCTAATCCTTTATACCTATAAATAACACTATTATTAAGTTGTTCTCCACCATTATAAACATTGGCAACCGAAGGTAAAGCAGAAGTAGCCATTGGAATAAATTGAACAGCACTACTATCTGGATTTTTAATTCCTAATTTTTTAATTAAATGATTACGAATATTAATAAATTGTTTATCTTGCCAATTATTAGAAACTTCCATATCAGCTAAATTTAATTTACTAAAAGTAGAGAAATCATTTATACTAAAATTTAGAGATAAAAAATCACTTAAACTATCATCAATACCATAAGCAGTTCTTGGTGCACTTCAATTTTTAAAAGATTCTTTTGATAAGGTTTGTGTATCATTATCAAAAACAGCACCACGCTGATTAGGAAGTAACAAACTAGCCTTATCAAGCTCTAATTGTGTATATGGTACTTCATGCTGTTCATCATAAGGAATTAAACCAAAACTTATCATTAAATCAGTATTGTTTTTACCGTTATTATTGGTTAAATAATTAAATAATATTTTATTTTTTTCTAAGAAATCCTTAACTATTGGAGGAATCTTTGATGGATTAGCAGCAATTCACTGTTTTATTTTTAATAATTCACTACCCATAATATAACGATTTTGAACATTAACCATAATTGATTTATTAGGATTAAGAGGATCAAATCGTTTAATTGCCGCTAATAATTCTGGATATAATGAAATTTTGCTTTTAATATTATCAACACTATTAAATTGATACATTAATTTATTTTCGTTATTAATAAAGTTAGTTTTAATATTATCATCAAATTGATAACCATTTTGATAATTAAAATTAGTTCCCGCAAATTGTGAACCTAACATATTATTAACTAAACCACTAGCAGCAAGCGCAAAGAATACTAATGTGGCAGCAAAAATACTAGTAAAACACATAATTAATGTTTTACCAAAACTACGTAGTGAAGCAGTAACGGCCAACTTATTACGATAGTTAAATCTACCAATCACATATCTTGCAATAAAAGTAAAAGTTGAACTAATATTTATTTTATATTTTTGTTTTGAAATATTATTAGTAATTAAATCTAAGGGTTTACTTCTTAATAAGAATAATACCATTAAAAAACTAATGAAAGTTAAACTAATGATTGGAATAACAAGTAATAAAATAGCAGTAACAATATTAAAGTACCAACCATAACTAATTAAGGCAACAGTACTAATATTAGTACTATAAATTAAATAATGCGCAACTTGAATCGAAATTAAAACACCAATAATAGCGAAAATAATTAAATAATTAGGAGCAATAATTGAAATTACTAATGATATACTTAACTGTCAACTTTTATATCCTGTTGCTTTTAAAATTCCAATTAATTTTTTATTACGATCAATCATTTTAAAAGTAATAATAAAAATAATAATAGTAGTCACAATAAAAATCAAAATTAAAAATAAACTAGAAATCTCTTCAATAACATTAATTCTATGATTAATGGAACTAAAAGATCATTCTTGCATACTAGTATAAAATCTAAGATTATTGATATTTAAAGGTGAAACTATTTTATTATAATCAATACCATTATTATAATATTTTGTGCTTGCTATATCAGTAAGTGTTTTATAAGTTGCATGAAGATAATTATAAATTCATTCATTGTTTATTTGTGAATCAATATTTTTAGCCAAATCAGGATTAATACCTAAAAAAAAATCATCAATATTACTGCTAAATGCCTTTAAATCAGATTCAACTTTGCGCATCGTATTACCATTAGTAAAAGCGATAGTATTATTTTTTAAATCAAGTGAATTACCAAAATAACGACCAACAAATGCTGCTAATGAGCTTGTAGCATAACCACGAATAATAAACGTTTGTCCAGCAATTACATAATTTTGACCAATATGTAAATTATTTAGTTCAGCAAAATGTTTGTAAATTAAAATTTCATTATCTTGTAATGGTTTTTCTGTTAAACTTGGGCCACCATCTTTGTTAATAATTGCCTTATTAACAATATATTCGGGTCCTGTTTCAATAAAAGCAAAATTTTTACTAGTAATTAATAAATCGCGGACCATAACAGCATGTTGTCATTCAATATCTTTATATAACATTCCCATTGACATTATTTCATATAACTTAGCTTCATTTTTAATATCTATTTCACTATAATTTCGATTAGCATATGGATACTCATCAGTTTTTCCTTTAAAATTATCGTTATAAAACTGTAAAGCAGCTTCACTAGTAATCATAAAATTTGTTGCATTTTCTGGATTTTTTTCTGGATGTAATGGATCATATAGATATTGATTAATCATATTAGCATATTGTTCTATCGTTGCTTTATGAGTATCATAAGATGGATAATTAATAGGAATATTAATTTTAAAATCAATATAATTATGGCTAGTATCATTAAAAAGACTATCACCAATAGCAAAATATTCTTTACTACTAGCGTCCCCACCATGAAAAGTAAAACGATATACATCAGGTCTAGTAGCATCTGGTATTGTTAACTGAAAAGTAGCTTTTGCCATCTTTTCTTTATCAATAGTATTATCTTTTTGATAATAATTAATATTATTTAAATAAGAACCGGCTTTATCTTTTTCATTATATTTTCCATCAAAATTAACATATTCTACTGGTGAAAAAAATGTATATTGGTTAAATTCATTATGAGCAATATCGTTAACATATTGTTCAAATAAATAATTATTAGAAAAATTTAATGATAAAAAGGCAATAATCATAATCATTACTAAAAAACCTAAACCAAACATTTGTAATAAATTGTTTTTTTGTTCACGAATATAATTACGTAATAATTTAAACATGTTTATCCCTTCTTATGATCACTTATTAATAAATTAGATTTTGACAGTTTTGCTAAAGCTGACTTTGCTGCTTCTTGCTCAGCTTTTTTTTTATTTGTTCCTACTCCTTTCCCCATTAGTATTTTATTATCTAAATACACATGAACAATAAAATAAGTAATATTATCTTTTTTAATTTGTTCCATAGTTTTATAATTAATAGGATCTCTTTTTTCTGCCTGTACTAATTCTTGTAATTTAGTTTTATAATCAATAATTGTTTCTAACTGATTAGTTTTAATTAATTCAAATAAGGTAAGTCTAAGATTTTTTTCACTGCACTATTTCCTAAATCAAGATATACTGCAGCAAGAAATGATTCAAAAACATCTGATAAAATGCTTTCGCGTTGTTGCCCACCTGTATTTTTTTCACCATTTCCCAAAAATAAATAATCTTGTAATCCTAAAGCAATTGCCACTGCTGCCAATGTTTCTTGTCTAACTGCTTTACTACGTAAACTTGTTAATTGTCCCTCATCTTTATTTGGAAATAAGTGTCAAATGTAAGTTGAAATATTTTCCCCTAAAATCGAATCACCCAAAAATTCTAATCGCTCATATGAATAATCTAAATTATGTTCGTTTGAAAAAGAACGATGAGTAAATGCTTCACGATAATTACGATTAGATTTAATTTTTTCTAAAATACTCGATTTTAAAATATGTTCAATATTAATCATATTTTTCTCCTTAATACTTATTTATAAATTATAATTCTTGAATTTGTTTAGCTATTTTATTAGTAACATCTTGCTCAATAGCACGAATTAAAAGTTTTAAAGTACTATAATAAGATTTTTTATTACTAGATCCATGTGCTTTAAAAGCAATGCCATTAATACCTATTAATCATAGCACCACCTGTATTCTTATAATCAAAAGTCTTTTTAATATTTTTAAAAATACCAATTGACATTAAACCTAAAAATTTAGTTCATAAATTTTTTTTATAACCATTTTTAATTAATGTAAATAATAATGATGCCGTGCCTTCAACTGATTTTAAAACAATATTACCTGAATAACCATCACAAATAATAATATCAACATCACCACTTAAAACATTTCGTGGTTCAATATTACCGTGAAAATTTAAAAAACTTAACTTTTCATTTTTTTGTGTTAATTGTTTTAGTTTAGCATATGTTGCTTTAGTTACTTCTGGACCTTTGCTTTCTTCAATACCAATATTTAGTAAACCAATTTTAGGACGTGAAATATTTTGAATAGTTTGACAATAAATATGACCCATTAATGCAAAATTAATTAATTCATCAACAGTGTTTTCAATATTTGCTCCAACATCCAATAGGCAATAATACTACTTGTCGATCTTTTATTAAAGTAGGCATAATTGGCATGAATGCCGGACGTTTAATGCCTTTGATTTCGCCTAATAAAAAATGACAAGCACCAAGATAGGCAGCAGTTGAACCCGAAGTTAGAATCCCATCTGCTTTTTTATTTTTAACTAACTGAATAGCTTGATTCATAGAAGAATCAGTCATTCTAATACCAGCGAGTGGACCATCATTCATAGTTATTACTTGGGTTGTTGCTAGTATTGTTATTCTTGATGATAATGCCTTATTTTTTAATAAAATCTGCAAGTTTCCATTAATTTGTTTTTCATCACCAACTAAACAAATTTCAACGTTTTTGAATTCTTTAATAACTTCTAACGCTGCAGCAATAGCGGGCAAACTACCATGGTCTGAACCCATTACATCAAAAGCAATTTTCATAGTTCCTCCTAAAAACAAAAAATAATTTAAGAAACCTTAAATAATATTATATTATAATTATTGATAGTTTAATTATACGTTAATTTTTTTAATTCCTTAAGATTAACAATCCAACTAATACTGCATTTATTTATTTTTAAATATGAATATTTCATTATTTGCTAGTAAAAAGTAAAAAAATTTATCTCTAATTATTTTGATATTGATTTCCTAAATAATTGTTTTTATTTACACCAGTTTTTTTTAAAGACCAAAACCCTTTTATTTATTTTATTAATAAAAAAAAACTTTAAAAGCAAAAAATTAATATAAATATAAAAATATCTTATCATAATTTTACTAAAATCAAAAATAATCAAAGAATTAAAAAAAATATTAAAACATTTAATAGTGTTTATTTTTATTTATAAAATAAACACTATTAATTTGATTATTATTCATAAAAATAAAAATAAAGTTAATTAAAAATAATTTTTATTGTATTTTATTTTAAAAACTTTAGAATTTAGTTACTTCTTATTATATATCTAAGAAGGTATTGGGAAAAAATTAATAACACAACTAAAAACTTTACTTATAAACAGTAATTTTTTGGATATGATTTTAAAATACTTATAAATTGTTATAGTAAAACTAATTCAAAAAAATAATAATACTGCTTTTGAGGATCTTGTAATATGATCCTTTTTAAAATATATAACTACTGTTATTAATAACAAATTAATATATTAAATAAAACTTTTATAATTAAAAAGGAAGAAAAATGAGAAATTTAAAAAAAGAAAATTAACAGAAAATAATAATCGCTTTGGTGGAAAAACAAAGAAATGAAAAAATAATAAAGGAGAATGAGAATATAAAACTGAAATTAGAAATAAATCTAATGAACTTGATTCACTTATTTATGAATCCTATATGACAATTTATGACAAAAACAAAAATAATTTTAAATATTGAACTAAAAGAACTGCCTTTCCAAATAGTCAAATTATTTTTGAAATATTTTTAATTAAAAATAATAAATTATATAAACACGTTAAAAAATATGAAAACATTGACAAATTATCAAATGACCTAAAGAATAATAAACTTTTAGATTCCTCTCCTATCAAAGTTAAAGGAGGCGAAAAATCAAATCTAAAATATTATTATTTAGAAAACGTTACTATAAATTCTATTAATAATATAGATATGTTTATAAAAAATATTACCTCATTCAATCAAGAATTAAGTATTAATATTAATTATGATAATTTATTAAAGTTATATCAGTATTTAACATATATGCAAAAACTTATTGATAGTCCTACTTCGTCTAGCAATATTTCAATAAGTACCAAAATTAAAAAAACATTACCTAATTTATTGTTAGGATTACTACTAGTTTATATTGCATTTACTGGAAAAAATGCACAAAGAATAATTTCTACATATATTTTTGATGAGCAAGAATATACATCAGAAAATTATCTTTATGGAATATTTCAATATAAACAAAACTATTTCACAACATTCATTGATACTATTTTAACGACATTTTTACCTCAACAATTGCTGATTGATCAAGAAATACAATTTTAAATATAATCCAAAGTCAAAAAAGTAATCCAATAAATGATTTTAAAATTAAAAAATTTCCTATTGAACCATTTAAAAAATATAAGCATGAATTTTTAACCCTTTTATATGAAGAAAATGAAGTAAAATTAAAAAATAATATGACACGAATAAAACATATTAATAATTTAATAAAAAAACTTAATAATCTTCCAAAACCGACAGATTTTGAATATCATCCAAATTTTAAAAAAGAAGTTGAAAAAATTAGTGACTTTAATTGTTTAAAGAAGCCTATTGATAATACTATAATAAAAAAACTAATATCTTCGGCAAACAAAGTAATTGATAATTTAAATAAATTAAAAAAATCAAATTTAGATACTTTAGAATGAAAAGAAAGAATAAATTATTCATTATTTGATTTATTTTTAGAATCAGTAACATGAGTAATGGCACATTCTATAATGATAGGTGCAATAGCAAATGCTATACAAGAAAACTTTAAAATAAGTGATTGAATTAAATATTTTACTAAACCAAATATTATATTAGCAAATACAATCACTTATTTTTCTATACGACCAGTTAATTCCATATTTAAATGAGGATTAGAAACATTAAAAATTAAAACTAATATTTGTCCTCAAATAATTTCAAACTGAATTACAAAACAATCAAATTATGGAAAATTTTCAATGGCAATTTTTTTATTTTTTTTCAATGCTGTTTTTACTAATATTACTAAAACAACAACACTACTTACTAAATATGAAGTTACAAAATCTCATGACCTACTTGAACTAAAATTAAAAAAATGAGAAACATGATTATTTTTTTTCTTAGCAACAGGTTCTCAAATGATTTCTTTTTCTATTTCAAATTTTTATAAAATCTTTAATTTTGAAACTTTAATAAAAAAAATTAGATATTTTCATAAACCAAACATAAGTTTACTAGAAGAAAAATTAATAGAACTAGAAAACAATAGTAATATCCCAATTTTTAATAAATCAGAAGTAATAAAAATACAAGACAGTATAAATGAAGTAAATAAGACTTATAAAGTAGTATATTCAAATACAAAAAAAATTGATCCAAAGTTAATAAATAGCACTGATTATGATTCAGATCAATTTCCATTATTAAACAAAAAAATGATTTTATTTGTTTAATTCATAATATAACTTAAAAATATATTTTTTTAAAAAATATTTATACTAATTTATGGATATTTTTAAAAAAAAGAAAAAAATAATCCAAACTTTAACATTAGAAAAGAGGAACTTTTTATTATGGATAAAGATAAGGAAATTAAAAAGTTAAGAAAACAAGATGCAGAAAATAAAAAACAATTTGAAGAAAAAAGATTAAAAAAAAGAATTGAAGAAGCTGAAAAGAAAGAAAAAGAAATGCAGAAGAAAAAAAACAATATAAAAAAGATAAAAATTTATAGACATAATACATTTTTATTATAGTTACAATATAAAAAATATTTTTTATAAAATTAATATATTATTAAAATTAAAAAAAATATTAAGTATAATAAATTTATGAAATATTTAGGCATTGATTTAGGTAGTAAAACATTAGGGCTTGCTCGTGGTGAAGGAAAAATTGCTTTTTCTTGAAAAACTATTCGTTTCCCAGAGCATGATTTTAATAATGCTATTATCCAACTCCAAAATGCCCTTTAAAGAATATGATGCTGATATTCTTGTTTTTGGCTACCCTTTAAACATGAATAGCACAGTCGGCCCCAGCGCAAAAATTGTTTTAAATTTTATTGATAAATTTAAATTAACACAAAATAATGATAAACTAAATATTGTTTTACAAGATGAAAGAAGAACTACCTATTCTTCGCAGCAAATATTAATTAAATCTAATGTTTCTTCAAATAAAAGAAAACAAGTTAAAGATCAATTGGCTGCTGCTATTATTTTACAATCATACTTTGATAAAATAACTCAATCTTAAATTTTAGGAGATAAATGTGAAATATAAAAAAATTAATTTAATCGCTATCGCTGGCGGCAGTGCTTCAGGAAAAACAACAGTAGCAGAAAAAATTGCTGAAGCTTGTAATAAAAAAAATGTCATTTTTGTACAAATGGATAATTATTATCATGACCTTAGTAACTTAAAAGTTGAAGAAAGAAAAAAAACTAATTTTGATCATCCTAATGCTATTGATATGAAATTATTAATTTATGATTTAGAACAATTATTACTTGGTAATGCTATTGAAGAGCCTATTTATGATTTTAAAATCAATAGTCGCAGTAAAAATACTGAGATTATTGGTCCGGGTGATGTTATCATTCTGGATGGTATTTTTGCTTTAGAAAATCCTATTATTCGTGAATTATCTACTATTAAAATTTTGTTGATACTGATAGTGATACTAGACTACTAAGAAGAATTAAACGAGATGTTAGTTTTAGAAATCGTACTCTTGACAGTGTTTTACAACAATATGCATTAACTGTTAAACCTATGCATGATGCTTTTGTTGAACCAACTAAACGTTATGCTGACATTATTATTCCTTTTGATTTTCATAATACTGTAGCTATTGATATTATTGCTACTAAAATTAAAGCAATTATTTAATAATTGCTTTAAGCTTTAATTTTTAAAATAACAATAAAATGCATCTTAAAAATGCATTTTTAAATTGTTTTTTATTATTTTTTAAGTTAACAAGAAGATTATCAACTTAAATAATCAATTTTATTTTCATTTAAAAGAGATAAAATATTAAATTTCTGTATTTGCATTATTTGCTCATAAACACTATTTTTTATTTCATATTTTTTTTCTATACTATCAATATTTAAAACTTCAATTACTGTATTTCCATTTTCATGTGTTACTAAACCAAGTTCATTATTTAAATTAAATAATGTTTGAACATTAATTGATAAATCTAATACATAATTTACTTTATTACTATCTAAATCACTATAATATAATTTTGCTTTTTACTTGCTAAATTTAAACTATAAAATATATTTTACTATTTATTTCTGTTATTAACATTGTATCGTTAATGTTAAAAATCATCTCCAGTTATTGGTTTGGCTTCAGATTGACCTTTTTTTATAATTAACGCACTATAACTTATAGGTTTATTTATAGATTTATAAATAGCAAGATAAATGTTTTCATTTTTATCAATAAATATAGAATTAACCATTAGATTGTTTGGTAAATTTATTTTTTCAGCAATTTCAGTATTAATATTATATTTATAAAAACCATCAAAAGTTGTTACATAAATATTATTTTTTAAATAAGTAATATCAGTTACCATACCCGAAACTAATGGCATAGTTTTAAATTTATTTTTATTATTAAGAATTATTACTCCACCAGCAGAAGTTAAATAAATATTACCTTTAATATCAATTATCATGTGAAAAGAACCTACTTTGAATTCTTTATTTTCTCAATAAATTTCATTATCTCTGGTACTTATATTATATTTTCAAATTTTTTGTCCAGGTATATGAAAATCAGCACTATCAAAAGTTGTATAATACAAATTACCATTGTCATCCTGTGTTTGTTTTACATTTTTTGTTGATATTATATTTTTATAATTAAAGTTAGTATCTTGATAATTATCATATATTTTTTTTCATTATATTGTCCTCTTCATTTTTTTTAAAATAGTTATTTTTATTATTTCTTCTTTTAAGTACATATCAATAATTCTAGTAACTAAAATCGATAAACGATATCACATGCTTACTAAAACTTACTATAAAAGAAAAATAATTAGTAGTTTTTCATTTTTTATTATCCATTATATTTTTATATTTCACATTATTTAAGTTAAACCTTGTTTACTTTAAAAATTAAAGTATCGGTCAAAAAATTCTATAAATTCTATAAATTTTATAAAATAATTATATTTATTTATTTTCTATAAGTCAAATTTTAATAAAAATACAAATATAAATAATCAATAATAGTCATCAATATTTCTTCAATCAATTGTTGTGATTTGACATTAAGGTAGCAAAAATGATAAAATAACACGTTTGAGTGGTGAAATATGAAAAGAAAACTAAATTATAAAAAAATATTAATTGCAACTGGTGTATTAGTTGTCGTTGCAGCAGCAACAACAACAATAGCTGTTGTCGCTACAAAAAGCACAAAATCTTGAAGCAAAAAAGAATTAAGTTCTAACATTACTAAGTTAGAAGTTGATGGTAACAAATTTAATACCGAAGAAACAGTTCTTAATGAAATTATTCGTTTAAATGAAGAAATAACATCTGAACATGTTGAAATTAAAAACTTTATTACTGCATCAGAAATTAAAAATGGTTCAGCAGAATTACATGCTAAAACTGACAGTAAATATACAGGACAAGTTAACATTACAATTACTGCAAAAGACAAAATCGCTTTAGACAGTAAAATTACTAACAAAGAAGTTAACGATAACAAATTTAATACTGAAAAAGCAGTTCTTGATGAAATCATTAAACAAAACAAAGATGTAACTGCTAATGATGTTGAAATTAAAAAATTCAAAGCAGCATCTGAAAGAACTGCTGGTTCAGCAGAATTACATGCTAAAGCCGACAGTAAATATACAGGAAAAGTAAATATTATAATTACAAAAGTTGATACTGAAGAAGAAAGATTAGTAAAAATTATTAAAAAAATTAAAGTTGCTAATGATAAAGAAAGATATGGCAAGGAATATGTTGAAGCATACAAGGAATATTTTGCATTTCTTCAAAAATCTATGGAAGCAAAATTTAAAATAGAACCTTGAGTTACAGATCAAAAACCGACAGATTCAAATAAAAAATTAACTTTTGATAAATTAGAAAATTATATAAGAAGTATTAGAACATCACACTATAAACTAGGTTTAGTAGAACAACGTATTAACATTTATTTTACAAATGAAAACATGTTAATTGATAATGAAAATAAAACATTAAAATTTGATAATCTTTGAATGGATATGTATAAAACTGAAGATAGCAAATCAATATCAGGTTCTAATTACTACATAACAGCAACTATTAAATACCAAGTAAAATAAATTTAAAATATACTAAAAATAACCAAATATTTGGTTATTTTTTATTAATATAACAAATAAATAAATACAAAAGTGATAATACTAATTAATTAGTATTTGTATTAGTACTTTCTTTTAATAATTGTTGATCTCCTGTTTTTGAACCATTAATTATTGATTTAATAAATGATTCAAAAACAAGATTAGGATTTGTAAATAATTGATCTTGATTATTTAATTCAAAAATAGATTTTTCTAATATTTCATTTTTTTGATGTACTGGTACTTTAATTATATCTTCAATAAAAATATCAATTATAGCATTTTGTGTTTCTTCATTAATTTCTTTATCGGACAACTGATTTTTAAGTTTCAATCTAGCATTAATTAAAAAATCAGCACTTTCTTCTCTTGGAAATGAAATACTTTCTTGAAAACTATTATTACTTGAATTAACTTCAAATGAAGGTGTTACTACTTTTGTAGTTTCTTCCTCATTTCTTTTTGCTGGTGTTTGATTAGTAACATTTGAAAAATATTGATAATGTCGAGCTTGATAGTATAACTTCACTTCATTATTAACAATTACATTATCTGGTTCAAATCTTTCCCTACTTGCAATATCAAAATCTTCATTAATTCTAATAATAGCACAATTTAAAATATTACAAATTGCTTCAATTTCAACAGAACCTGTTATTTCACCATTTTTTCTCATTTGCTCTAAAGTTTTTATTATTTGTGTATCTTCACTATTGTTAGGATATAATTCTTTATTTTTTTTATTAATTTCACTATCTAATAACATTGATCTAAAATTAGCTTTATTATTTGGACGTTTTGTATCTAAATTTGTTTCAATATAATCACAAATACGATTACGAAAGACTTTAACTAATTTTTCATTTTCTTTATCAGCAAAATTAAAATCAGCAAAATTAAAAATTCGTTCTCAACCTAATTCTATACCAAAAAGCGATTTATATCTTGTCTTAAATTGGTTTTTATTAGTTTTAACTTGTTCTAAATATGAAACGATTACTGCTCATAATAAACAATTACCATCTCTTTGTACATCTTTAATTGCCATGGTGATGTGTGCTCCTTTAAAAGAAAAACAGTTACTTTAAAAATAAAATAATAAACTGAAATTTTGAATAAATATATTGGGGTTTTAATAATGTTGCTTTGCAATTCATCGTAAATTGGTAATAAATATTACTACTTATAATATAACAAAAAAACAAAAAAATAATAGCAAATCATTATTAAAATATTATATATAAATATTTCATAATTTAATTTTATTTAATAAAAAATATATTATAATACTTTCCTAATAAAATAAAATTAACCTATAAATAAAATTAAGGAGATTTTTAGAAATGAAAATTCAGAAACTTAAAAAAATAAATTTAATAACACTATCACTATTGATTTTAACTATTTTGGTTATATTTACATCTTTAACCTTAATAAATTTTTTTAACATAAAAAATGATATAAAATATATTCCTTCTTTCTATAATCATTATCGAAAACAAGAAATAATAACAAAAGAAAATGGTTTTAATTTAATAAAAGAACATGGTTTAATTTATATGTTAACTAATAATAAATTATATTTTTGTAAACATTACCTCTTCCAAAATATTGTTGAAAACTATAATCTTAAATCATTAGTACAACTAAAAATTGGAATTGTTTTTTCTATAATTTTAAGTCCAATTTTATTATTTATAACTATATTACTAATCTTTTTAAATATTTATTTAAAAATAAAAAAAGTAGATAATAACTTTTGAGATGCTATTGAAAATTGTGAAATTATTAATAATTATTATGTTCATTAATTTTTTATTTATTATTAGAAATTAAACTAAGAAACTTAAAAACTATTGATTATATTTATTATTTAATATAGTAAGCATAGATAAAATTATATGCTTACTATAAATTTTTAATTACTCTTGATAAAATTAACTGAATATTATCATTATAAATTTCTACCTTTCCTTCCATTAAAATTACTTTATTAACTTGTAAATATTCTTGGTATATTTGATATAACTTTTCAAAAACCGTTACTTCAATAACATTACTATCATTTTGCATTTCAAAAAAAGCCATTAATTTTTTAGTTTTAGTTTTAATTACTCTAATATTATTGATAACTCCATATACTCTAACATGTTGATCAACATAATTATTAATATATGCTAAATCAATAGCTTTATTATGAGGATCTAATTGCTCTTTTCATAGTAATTTAGGATTATATTTTAAATAAAGTCCTAATGCACGATGTTCATTAATACTATTATTATTTCAATCATCTTCTCTTTGTAACATAATTGGTTTAGCAATTAAATTAAAATTTAATGATAATTCACCACTAGTTTCATCTTTTACCTGCACCATATTGGCATATTCTAATGCAGCATCCAAGTTTAATAATAACATTGTTCGATTTGATTGAATATCATCCAAAGCACCAGCAGCAATTAAATGTTCAATGTTTTTACGATTCAAACCAATAAATATTGCTCGAGAACAAAAGTTAAAAAAATCTTGAAAAAATCCATTACTAGTACGTTCTTTAATAAGATTACTACAACTACCTTGACTCATTTGCTTAATTGCTTGTAAACTATAACGAATAGCTTTTTTAGCACCATCAATTAAAAAATCAATGTCAGAAAATTGAATTGATGGTGGTAAAACTTTAATTTGATATTTTTGACATTCATTCAAATATTGTAACATTTTTTGATCATTACCAATAACGCTACTTAATAACGACACCATAAATGCCAATGGATAATTTGCTTTTAAATAAACTAAATAATAACTAATTAATGAATAAGCGACAGCATGAGATCGATTAAATCCATAACCAGCAAATTTTTCAATATCTTCTCATATTTTCTTAACAACTCTTGGTGAATAACCTCTATTAACAGCACTTTTAATAAATGAGTTTGCTTGTTCTTTCATAACTGTAGTATCTTTTTTACTAATTGCACGACGAATTAAATCAGCTTTTCCTAATGAATAACCAGCAACTTTCTGTAAAATTAATAATATTTGTTCTTGATAAATAATAATGCCATAAGTTGATGCTAAATAAGGTTTTAAATCTTCATGAATATACGTAACTTTTGTTTTCCTAATTTACGATTAATATAATCTTGAATGTACTCTTGTGGTCCAGGACGAAATAAAGAAGAACTAGCAATAATATCTTCTAAATTATCAACTTTCATTTTAATTAAAATTTGACGCATTCCTGAAGATTCCAATTGAAAAATACCAGTTGTATCACCATTTTTAATAATGCTAAAACTTTTTTCATCATTTAAAGGAATTTGAGATAATTTTAAATTTAAACTAGCTGTAAGTGGAATTCTGTCTTAAGGCAATTAAGGCATCGTGCTTAAGGCAAATTGCTGAAACTTCCCGTACCAAAAATTATTTTTTTTAAAAACGATTAACATTTTTGAAAAAAATTTACTTCGAAAAAATAAGATGGACATATTGGACAAAAAATTACTTTTTTTTTGAAAAAAATTTTTTAAAAAAAAAAAAATTTAAATTTCTTTTTTTTTTTTAAAAATGTTTTCTTTATTTTGACATATTTTGGAAGATCTGACCTTTTTTCAAAGCAATCGTACTGCTTTAAACTGCATAAAGACGAAATATCAAAGCGCGTAAGCGCCGCGTCGCCGTCTAACGCGTAACATTGGTACGGAACCCCATAGGAATGTAAACAAAATTCATACTTATTGTTAAAATCTCTATAAAAATCTGATAATTTGATGTGCATATGTCTAATGATCATTTTTGACGCCAATCGCTTTTTTTTTTACTTTATTCATTAGATCTCCGAAACCGCTAGACCTGCCTTTATGAAAATTTGGTCAATTCTTCATCTTGTCAATACAAGTAAAACGTTTTTGACTTATTCAAATTGGACACTCCGTTCTCTTAAAAACTGAGTTACCGTTTTCGGCACTTTTTGCCGATCTTGGAACGGCTAGACCTGTCTTTGCCAAAAACTAATCAGCACGT